GTGTCTGTGGATATTGTGTGTATGGTTAGAACGTAGTATGCATGTACAACTGCGAATCTTGTGTATCCTTCCTGTCATACCCCCCCCCCCTTCCTCTCTTTCTGCTGCGGTATATTGTAGTCCTATTCATTGATTCGAGGGAAAGATGCAAACGGGAAAAGTCCGAAGAAAAATTTGACCTGGAAATGTAGTAGTTGTACGAGTACATGTCATATTGTCGGCTCACAATGGGATTTCAAGTTAAATATTATTACTTATTAGATATCAGGTTTCTGGTGACTTAGTGTCTCCTGACAATTCTGTATGTCCTAGGGTGATCGATGGCACTTCATTGACGATGGCCCATACTTTGAGAGTCTGGAGGCCGTTGTTGAACATCACACCAAACGTTCGGATGGCCTGGTGGATGTACTCCGGGTCGGTATTTGTCCTGGTACTGGCTCAGAGGCTGGTGAGAGGGCGTTGAGTGCCCTGGGTCCGGGCAAGGCTGCTGTGGGTGGTGGTGCAGCGCGTCCACAGCCTCAACCAGAAGATTACAACCAAGCTAAGTCATGGACAGGTATGGCAGTTTGGCAGTTTGGCAGTATGGCAGTATGCCGCACACATGCCTCACTGAGAGTGTTTTTGCTGTTTTACATTCCGCCTATAGTACTCACTTTCAGACAGACACCCCCCCCCCCCCCCCCTGGGTCTTGTCGAATAGGGTAGAGCTGTTCTGTATCATTGAGAAAGTATGCTAGGTTTCTTCTGGAACTGTGTGCCACCAGAAGGAGCAGTAACTGTTACAGGCCTGTCAAATAATTGTGAATTGTCCATGCATTTTGGCAGTGGTATCAAGGGACACACATATTCGGCAGGAGTGTTTAGAATATGGGTTCATTGCGATGGCTGCTGGTACTGTGACGGGTGCTGGCACTGTGATGCGTGCATAGCAATGTTTCAAAGTGATTTTATATGACTTGCTAGCTCCATAAGTGTTTTCCCTTTTGTTCCATGGAAGAATGCTAGTATTCACAGTGTGTTTGTTACATTCTGTATTGTGCTACTACTGTGTCAAGGTCAAGTTCCCGGTGCTGCCGCCAAGAGTGTAAGTCACACATGAGGTTGTTTTAATTCTGTTTAAATACCTTGCATGCCAGGTGTGGACACGTGTGAATTGTTGATTGTAAGCAAGACTAGGCCCAGGCATGTAGCCTGCATGGGCCAGGGGGGGGGGGGGGGGGGGCACGTGCGCCCCCTAAATTTTTCGACCTAGGTTCAGCATGCACAGAGTGACCATGAATGACATGCACTGGCCATCCTACACATATGCGGCTGTGCACCCCCCCCCCCCCCCCCACACACACACACACTCCAAAAAGGGGGACCAGCTACCGCCCGCCCGATGGTGCATTTTATAGTCGTTTTGATTTCACCGTCACTGCTCTTGGCCATGGATTTGCAGTTGCATGGGGTAAAGAGTGGGGATAGGATGTACGGAATACTACTGGTCCCACATGGGGTAAAGAGTGGTGTTCACGAGGAATCTAGGTTTGAACTTCTTTATTCGAACTGCTTATGCAAGTTAGGACTTCTCTTCAAAGAAAAGCTAAGTCCTAAAAAGCAACTAGAAGAACTAAAAGGAACTAATATAATAACCGATAAGACTGAATGAAAACCGAATACTTCAAAGTGAATATCGATCCACTATTTATACGCGAAAGAAGCGAGTAGCGACAAGAATGAGACCAAACGGCGCGTGCCGCTTAGTTCTGCTGCAAACAAATGAAAGTACAGTGGAAATGCGATCGCGTGTGCTATCACGAAATCACTGGACCGACTACATAGCGTACAAAGGAGAAACCGCAATATGAGCGTCTCGTACTCCAATAAATGTAGCAAAAGACAAAGCACGTAGCCTTGCGTATCTATCAGCTAAGATGTGAATGTGCACATGTAAGAGCAAATCGATCAGGTGTGACTTTGAGTCGTTTGACCTTCCACCAAACCATACACTGTGGACTGTTGCACTCACCGTGCTTACCGGCGAAGCATGAAAAGTCTAGTACTATAGACCAAGTGACATTGAGACATTAAAAGGGAATCCTAGGGCCGTAACTAACAAGAACACCACAATTGTGTAAATCTCCAGAACATTCTCCTCCTCCTCGATCATGGTGCACCAATGATCGAGTCTGAACTAAAATGAATCACTAAAAAAATGAACCAACGTGATCCGAATACTAAAGGAATTATATCGTGATCTGCATGCGTATTAGCGCTTAGCCTACAATGCTAGCTAGCCACTCATGGCTGCTCTCCAATGACACTGTTTAACTTTTTATCTCCAGTGGGCATAACTTGCAGATGGGGCGTGTCAGTTCCTTCCCACCAACCTTTACTCTTGCGACTCGCACGAGGCCGTCCTTCCCTGGGAAGACTTCCAGAACTCGTGCCAGTGGCCATTGTGCTCGTGGTGTCGACGGTGTGAGGAGAAGCACAAGATCTCCGACTTTGATGTTTGCGTACGTTTCTGTCCACTTCCGGCGCATGCTCAGCAGTGGCAACCACTCCCGGATCCACCTTTTCCAGAAGTGCAACACCAGCTGCTGGACGTGGTGCCACCTCTTGCGCAGATTTATCTGGTCGTCCGTCATCTCCGGTGCAAACTGACCTCCCAGTTGTCCCATAAGGAAGTGGTTTGGCATCAGCACCGTCTCGTCCTGTGGGTCCGTCGAGGTCGTGGTTAATGGCCGAGAATTGATCAGTCCTTCTGCGGCGATGACAGCAGTGAGAAACTCTTCGTCGGTGATGTCGCTCGAACTTAGAATAGCGTAGATAGCTCTCTTCGCTGCCTTGATCATTGCTTCAAATAGTCCTCCGAAATGAGCTGCTGCTGGAGGGTTGAAGCTCCACTCGACATGATGAGCTGATGTCACCCATTTGATTCTGTCTTGGTTGACATCTTGCCATAGCTCATCCATCTCCTTCTTGGCGCCTACGGAATTGGTCCTGTTGTCCGATATGACTTGAGTCGGAATACCTCGGCGACTTGTGAATTGAAGGAAGCAATTCAGGAAGACGTCTGTGTTCAACGCTGACGCTACTTCGAGATGAACTGCTCGGGTGGAGAGACATGTGAATAGGCACAGCCATCGCTTCGTTTGCGACCGGCCCCGTCCTTGCTTAGTCATGAATGGACCTGCATAGTCCAAACCGACACTGGCGAATGCTCTGTAGCTCGGAACTACCCTGTGCGCTGGTAGTGGTGCCATTAACTGCTGCGCCGGTCGGGCCTTCTTGCACTTGCAAGTCCAGCAGTCTCTCTCTACTTCCTTGACGGCTTCTCGCACGTGGGGTACGAGATATCTACCTGACAAGACGCTGATGCTGTGATTGGTACCCATGACATGATTCCCGCCAGTGGCATGTCCAGGATTTGGCTGAGGGGGGGGGGGGGGGGGGGGGTTGCGGCCGGGATCAAGGCGGGATGGGGTGGGGGTAGATGACATCATGATACTGTCCCAGGTCAGCCATTTTGAAAACCGATGTCAAGAAGCTCCTCCTGCAGCCCCCTTCTTCAACAGTTATTCACCCAAACGGCCCCAGAGACTGTTCCGGTGGATCAGCGCACCACACGGGGACAAGTGTCGAACTTGCTTCAAGTTCCCTTTCTTCGTCGGCCTGTGGGACGATCGGCCATGATGTTTCGGGAAGCATTCTCTGGAACGCTCTCCCCTCTGATTTTAGAGTGATACGTGTCCCTGGTCCCTTCCGAAAAGCTCTTTCTGCCATTGATATACTTTGTGAATATCCTCGTTAAGTCTTCGAGTCAACCAAAACACGATTCGAACGAGGATGATCGCCTGAGCCCTCGGCCTCGGCATTCGAATTGTGTTTTGGTTGACTTGATCGAAGACTTTTCTTCGATGTATGTACGTAACGTTGAAGACGCGTCGAGCGCGTCCCAGCAGGGATCACACTGTACAACAGTGCACAGACTCTGTCAGTCAGGTCACCGTGTTTCTGTAGCCGTGCATGCTCACTGTACGCACTCTGTAGACTACAGACTAGTACTGTACTACAGTACTAGTCTGTAGTGTGTACAATCAACACCAGCTCGAGCTCCGTAGGTCTACCATGGTCTACCGTGCAACCGCTTTTGGACGATCGTTTCAGGCCGCGCGCGCCCCGACTACATGTAGTCTAGTCTAGCTAGCCCCGCGGCCGCCGCGCGCCCTGCCTTTTATTTTTCGAAACCTAGGTCGAAACTTTTGAGGGGGGAGGGGGGCGCGCGCGCCCCGCGCCCCCCCCCCCCCCCCCCCCCTAAACCCGCCACTGCCCGCTGACGTGCACGTCCCGAATGATGAGTGTCGTGACAGGGTGTCGACGTGGCAGGATGAGCGGGTTGACCGTTGTGCTCGGCAGATAATCTGCATACTGCAAGCATCCTTTGGACCGCAGCAAACCGTTTCCATCCACGAATGGCATCATGGGTCTCAGTGGACTACTGGCAGCAACCGCCTTGCCGCTCTTGAGTTGATGAATCTCCTCAGCATAGCTGTCTTGCTGCGCTGATTTGATACTACGTTCTTCTGCATCTTGTATCTCCGCTACCGATAGCTCTCCTGTGGTTCGATCGTGTGGTTTCTGGCTGTTGTGTAAGAAGCGGCCTACCCAGGCAGTGACACGTATGAAGCGCTTCCAGTTGGAGTATCTGGCTGGCTGCAGTCGAGACTCAGCGTCAGCTGCCGTTGTCGGTGGCTTGTCAACGGTTCGCGACACGAGGGTTACTTCGGCCGACTTCCGCAATTCCGAGAGATCCACTTCTGTCATCTCTGACTTCTGCGTAGCTTCCTCCACTGGCCGTCGACTCAGAAACTGTGGCCCTGTCCACCACAACTCTGACTCCAATAACTGATTTAATGTGGCGCCTCGTGACGGAATGTCGGCTGGGTTGTCGGCAGTTGCCACGTAGTGCCATTGTCGTGGTGAGGTTGCTAGCTGTATCTCTGCTACCCGGTTGGCTACAAACGTCTTGAAGTGGCGTTGGCTTCTTGATCCATGCCAAGACGTTCTGACTGTCGCTCCAGAACTGTACTTCAGCCATGGACATCTGTAGTACCGTGGTGACGGTCTGCGCTAGTTGCACACCAATCACAGCGGCCATCAGCTCCAACCGCGGAATGCTGATCACATGCAGTGGTGCTACTTTGCTCTTCGATGCGACAAAGCGACGAAACACACCACTACCGTCCTCGACGTACTGGACATAGGCGACTGCTGCAAATGCTGAACTGGAGGCGTCAACAAACACGTGTAGCTGAGCAGCCTTGTTGATCTTGAAACAACGTGGGATCCTGAGCTTCTGGAGATCGCCGAGCTCACTGAACCACTCTTGAGCCAGCTGCTCTGTCTTGGTGTCAACTTCCTCGTCCCAGTCAATGCCGCTTGCCCACAGGCTTTGAATCATCACTTTGCCGCGTAGCACGAACGGAGCGACGAATCCTAGTGGGTCGAATACCTTGGCCAATGGCCCGTTTGGTGATGCGCTGCTGTTGCGAAGCTGCGGTGGCACTGATCGAGAACGAATCGCTTGACGCTTGCCAACTGATGCCTAATGTCTTCGTTGTGGGCAGCCCGTCACTGGTCAGATTGACACTGGCGGTGCGATGCTCAGCTGGTATCTTTTCCAGCAGGGTTGCCGAGTTGGATATCCACTTGCGGGCACTCATCCCGCATCCACTCCATACCGTCATCAGTTCCGTGTAGAGCTGTACGGCCTCTTCATCAGTTTCCACCGAATCCATGGTGTCGTCCATGTACGTGGAGTTGTTGATTCCGTCTGCTGCTAGTGGGTACTCAGTTGCTACCTTGGTTGCGTGGTGGCGAGACACGAACTGTGCGATGAACGGGGACGCATTCAAGCCGAATACCAGACGGTTGAATCGGTACGTCCTTGTAGGCGAGTCGGGGGGTGGACGCCATAGGAACTGAAGACAGCGACGATCCTCTTCCTGCACTCCGACTTGCATGTACATTTCTGAGATGTCGCACACTACTGCTAATTAATGGCGACGGCACCGAAGCAGGATGTCCACTAAGTCGTGTTGTAGCTTAGGTCCTGCTTCCAGGGTATTGTTGAGACTGAGCTTCCCACACCGTGCTGCAGCGTCGAACACGATGCGAACTTTCGTCGTTTCCCGATTCAGCTTGATGATCGGGAAGTGCGCTAGATAGTATCCTGGCTGCTGTGACGACTGCACCCGACTGACGTAGCCTTTCTCTTCATACTTCTGTATTGTCTCTGCGTAAACACTTGCCACTTCTTTATCTCGTCGTAGTCGCGCCTCGGTATTCTGCAGTCGCTTCATGGCCATTGCGTAGCTGGCTGCTGTATCCAGCTCTGCTTTCTCGTTCTTCCATGGCAGGCCAACTGTGTATCTCCCGCCGTCGTATGTGAGAGGTTCTCGGATTCTATCTTCGGTTGCTGTGTCTGCGTCCTTCATGAGCTGTGTACGTGCCGTTGAGCTGGCTTCTTCCATTGCCCAGAAGCGTTGCACTATTGCATTCAGTTCGATGTCCGGGCGGGTTTCTGTGACGTAGCTGCGTGTAGCTGATCTTCCGGTGACGGTGGTTCCGACACACGTCTACCCAAGGGGTGTACGTCGTGCTATCGGCTCCTCTGGCTTGCCCATGCGTTCCTCTAGTGACACATGCAGTCTAGGATGATCTACTCCGATTAGTAGGTCGACGCCGTCATCAGCAGGAGGTGGGAACTCAATGTCTGCGAGATGTGAGTACCGGGTCTGAACTTGATTCCAGGAAACTATACCTCCATGTCGCCGACGGGTTTATCTATCGTGAGTGCCGTCAGGTGTACTTCCGTTTGCCCGTCTACACTCAACAGCTGGCAGCTTACCGATTGCGTAGCGATTCTCTCCGATTTGCCATTCAGTGTGTTCACGGTGATCTGTTGGCTAGGACCTTCCAGCTTGAGCTGCGACACGACTGCCGAACTGAGGTACGACTTCGTGCTGGCGTCGTCGAGTAGTGCATTCACCTTGACACTCTGTCCGTTGCTGCACAGCGTCACAGGAACTGTACGCAGAACAACTGAGGGCCAGCCGCTCTTGAGCTGTCTTGTAGCTAGAGTCCGCTCCTCCTCAGTGATCGCTGTGGCATGAGTGCGTTCCGTAGCAGACTGAGCGTTGGCCTTGCCGTCTGTTCCACTTGCCGGTTGTTGCTGAGACGATTGCTGCGAGCGCTGTTCCTGTCGGCTAGCGTCGGGCGTTGGCTCAGACATTGCTTCTGGCGATCTCTGCCTTCCTTCGCCACGTACATGCAGCATCCGGTGGTGTGTATCTGCGCACCCGTCGATGGCACATTGTCGTTCCAGCGAGCAGTCTTTCCCTTGATGGCCTGTGCTCAGACAGCGGTAGCAGGCGCCTGCCTGTTTGGCCACTACCCATCACTTCTTTGCATTCATTTGTCGAAAGTTTGAGCAGCTCCACAACGGATGGTTTCCACCACACGCTGCACACTTCGGCTTCGCATCACTAGTGCCCGTAACGTAGGTTCGTGGTCGACTGCTGACATGCTGCGTACTGTTGTGTGCTCGCCGAAATGGCGTCTCTGGTGCCGCCTTTGCCCGACCGACACCTTTCACTGTTTCTGAGGCAATCGTCAATAACTCCGCTTCCTGAGTCGTCCAGTCCAGGAGCGTCTCTACCGCTTCTGTCTTGCCGAGCTGAATCCTCCAGCGGTGGTACTCGGCAACGTCTCGTTCGTCAAGCTTCTGGAGCAGCTTGACGTAGAAGGTACCTGCTCCTAGCTCTGCCTGTTGACCTGTGTCCTTATCGTAATTACTGCTATGGAGAGTAGGTCGGTGAACCTTTCCAGCTCCTTTGCCTTGCGGTGACCTATTTGGTTGATTTTATCTATTTCTTCTAGATGTAATGCTATCTTCCTTCGGCTACCACCATACTTCCTCTCTAACAAGGCCTTCACAGCGTCGTACGCCGATGGCGAGAACCCAAAGCGATCTACGGCTTCTAGTGGCTCTCCAGTCAGGTATTGCTTGAGCTGCAATAGCTTCTATTCAGGTGACGTCGATGCACCGTCAATGCACGCGGTGAAGGCTGCTTTCCACGACTCATACTTTCCCTTGTAGCCATTGAACGTTGGGATGCCAACGCGTCGTAGCTGTTGCCATGGCTGTGCACCTTGATGTCCAGGTGTCTGCTGTTGGTAACTTGCAGCCATACTTGCCCGTGGTCCTGGCGATGTCCACACTGCTGCTGATGGATAGCTGTCGTTATAGGGTTGGCCAGTGGGCCCTGTCTGTACGCTTCTAGTGCTACTACTACTACTGGTACTTTGACTGGCCATACTGTACTGGCCTGTAGTGCTGAAACTGCTTAGCCCTGGCTGCATTGCATGCAGGCAAAAAGAGAAGCTAAGTCCTAAAAAGCAACTAGAAGAACTAAAAGGAACTAATAACCGATAAGACTGAATGAAAACCGAATACTTCAAAGTGAATATCGATCCACTATTTATACGCAAAAGAAGCGAGTAGCGACAAGAATGAGACCAAACGGCGCGTGCCGCTTAGTTCTGCTGCAAACAAATGAAAGTACAGTGGAAATGCGATCGCGTGTGCTATCACGAAATCACTGGACCGACTACATAGCGTACAAAGGAGAAACCGCAATATGAGCGTCTCGTACTCCAATAAATGTAGCAAAAGACAAAGCACGTGGCCTTGCGTATCTATCAGCTAAGATGTGAATGTGCACATGTAAGAGCAAATCGATCAGGTGTGACTTTGAGTCGTTTGCCCTTCCACCAAACCATACACTGTGGACTGTTGCACTCACCGTGCTTACGAAGCATGAAAAGTCTAGTACTATAGACCAAGTGACATTGAGACATTAACCCTTTGTGTACCAGGCATCTAATGTATGCGCGGGGTACTCATCGGTAATGATGGACCTATAGCATAAAACTAAGACACATTTTGTATGTGCAAGTTATGTTTTTCTGAATCTGTTGGTATCAATGTGTCCAGGTAAGAAAATATTTTGACCGAGCACACAACTACAGATACAGGCCATACCTGGAATACCTATTTCTGAGTCAATTGTCCATATTTCTGACAATTTAGATCCGTGTACTTGGAATCGTGAATATACTTGCTGACATTGCCCTTCTTCACACAGAGCAACAGGAGACCACTGTACTAGTGTATAGCCGCCAGTTGCATGCTTCAACAATAGCGAAATGGACGGAAAAGAGCCATATTGCGTGAATACCAGATGCCAAACAATTGCATCAAAATTTCAAATTATTGAAATTGTGTCAGATTTGAATATGTACTTTTCACTTATCTACTTGCGTCCAGCGAGGGTATTGGCGATTGAGAAGACCAGGAATAGTCGATGGGTGAGGAAATTCACCTGCCTTGATTATTTCAGGCCATCGCTGCGCTCCCTCTCGCTGCTGCTTGGAGAGCGAATACTGCAATGGCTTCAGCGATGGAAATTCTCATTTTCGATTCAGATCCTGAGATTATATCGCTACTACAACTCTCTCCTGGCGTTCACCATCACTAGTAGACATCGACAACAGCTAGAGCAAGCTATATTCCAGATACAAGCAGCGTAACCGAACGAAAACACGATCGAAATTGCTAAAATATATCGCAGAGCGCTGAAACTGCAAAGCGCACTTTTCGCCGCGATCGTTCTCCATACTTTCAAATGGCAACCTACCCACATCATACATCAAAATTTGCAGTGGGATCTCAGCTGCCCAGCGCAAAAAAACGCGAGTCGATCGGAACAAGGACGCCGCCGAACGGCGCGGCGCAGTGCGGTGCGTCGAACCGTAACGTACGTTACGGTTCGAGATGGGGCTGGTACACAAAGGGTTAAAAGGGAATCCTAGGGCCGTAACTAACAAGAACACCACAATTGTGTAAATCCCCGGGTAAAGGGTGGGGATAGGAGGTACTGAATGCTACTGATCCCACATGCGCTCTGTCGGTGTTCTCCTAACAGAATGGTGGCATGGTTCTGATTGAACGCACTCATCTCAGTGCCAACCCAGCCAAGTGCAAAAAGCTGGGCGAAGGAGAGTTTGGCTCCGTGCTATTGGGTCGCTGGAAGAAGGACGGGAGAGGCAAAGGCGTAAGTTCAATTTTGACCCGTGATGTCGTGTCCCGGCTTGCATCTTCTCCTTCTGAAAGAATTTCCAGGGTTGAGAGCAGTTGAGAAGCTTGGTTTTGCTGACACATGTATTCACCATATGTAATATTTAGAAGCGAGTCGTACAGTTACACGATATTGGATAGTGGCCGGCCCTTCTGGAAATGGCTGCCTATTTCCTCTTCACTGTTGTGCTGCCTGTGCAGATCGATGTTGCAATCAAGACACTCCGCCCGGAGCATATTGCACATGGTGAACCTGTAAGTCTCTAGTACTGGTCTCACTGATCTGGCTAGGGTAATACTATTGTATGTACTGGTCTTGCTATGATGATCTGGTTAGGATAATACAACAATACATGTGTTTGCCGGACCCTGTACCAAGCGGAATTCTGTATTGACACATTTTCATGCACCAAAGTGCTGTGGATCGAACGTGCATCCTCGGATCAACCGGAAGCCTATCCTATCAGGACAGTTTCCGCTGCACCGAAGGCATTGGTTAGGGCAGGTTTCACTGAAGTAGGTGTGCACACTAGGACTCAGCACTGCGGCCTTTACTTTCATGGAGGATAAAGGGTGGGTAGCATCTGATACCGTTTTCTTGTGCTCTGCATGCTGATGATAACCGTCTGGTGAAACATGTATCCACCTAACTGTTACTTCAAGTGCAGTACTGTCGGGTAGCGCTGAAGAATGGCCAGGCTAGAATTTCATCAAGCACAGCATACCAATGTATACACTGTGCCCCAACTGCGCATAGACTGTAGTGCAGTCAACTTCGTGTATAACGACACTCGGTGGGGTGTATAACGACACTCGGTGGGGCATCAGAAAAGTGTTTTTTTTCGCGAAGTGTCGTTATACCCGAAGTCCCATCAAATGTATTCCAGTTGGATGTGACTTTGCTCTGGGCATGGAAATTCTGTCGTTATTCGCGAATTCGTTATTAGCGTGTTGACTATACATGAAAATAAGAATGGTCTAGGCTAGGAGGCTGACCCCGCAGTTCTTCGGTGACCGATAGTACTATAATTGACTAGTGTACCTCAGCTCCTCTTTTCGGTTATTAATCTGCTAGACATTAGTATCCTGTGACTGCTGACTACCATGCATTCAATCTGTGTTCAATGCGATTACCAATAGCCACCGAGTTGACCAGTGTATTCTAACACTTTGAGTTATCTTTCGACCAAGAGTCGTGCATGTTACCAAGTTTTAATGTTCTAGACATTTAGTTGTTGTAAACATATTAATTAATATTATGTCTGTTGGATTGTGTATTTTTACACTAGTGCGAGCAAAATATCACTGCACCTAGATAGGCCGTGGTTGCCTGTACAGTTGAACATCGATTATCCGACCACCTCTGGGCGGCGGGCCCTGGGAAGGTGTTCGGATAATAAAAATGTTCCGAATAAGGAGAATCTCACCACAAGCCGATACCTGTGTTCGGTATATCACAGTACCCGCAACAACAGTCGTTTTCATGTTAGTTTTTGCAAGTTTTGTAAGTTTTGACTGTACAGACTGTACACAGTGGTACGGGCAGCGAGTGCACGCTGCAGCAACTAACTCTTCGTGCAAGCTCCTGTACGAAAATGCGTAGCCTGAGCCACTTGCAGTTCGAAAACCCATTCCGGATAATCGAATGGTCGGATAACCGATAGTAGAATACGGTAGTGCTTGAAGTGGCGACTTGGAAACTTTTCAGTTTCCTCTTCTCTTCCTACAGTGTCTGTCTTGAGATGATTGTTTTCTACACTTTGGTGCAATAACGTTGGTGTACCTGGCTCTCTTTGTTGAACTGTGTGTTTAGGAATTCCTGCGGGAAGCGCAAGTGATGATGAGCTTGAATCACCCTTGCATTGTGCGCTTGATCGGTGTGTGTCTGGCGGATAAGGACGGCTCGCCCATGATGCTGGTAGGTCAGGAGTCTTCAGCATGGTTAAAAAATAGTACACACGTAGCTGTCTGGGCATGGACCATTTCCACTACCCGCTAATTTCCATCAAGGATGGCAGCAAACACTATACTCTGCATTACTGTAACTCTGTGCCGTCTGTAGCTGCAGCAGGATCGGCTATCCGAAATATGTTCTGCTATGTCACAGTTTGTCATGCTGTTACCTTTGACACTGGCCGAGAGGATTGAAAAGTCGGCCACAATAGACTCCTTTGTTAGTTCTGAATCAGTGTTCTCATCAGAGATGGGGGCATTTGGTTAAAGATATATTCAGGCTTCCAGAGGCCTCAAGTCAATATTTTATTTTCGATTACGATGTTTTATACAACGCAAGTGACTTGAAATCTTTTTGGATAATAAGTTTGGAATGGGTTTAGAAACGTTTTAGGAATGCCTGTGCGAACCCTGCAGAGGCGTTTTACTCAGACGGTATTCATGTGGTCACATGCCGTATTAGACATGTGTTTGTGTGTGTGTGTGTGTGTGTGTGTGTTCGCGTGCGTGTGTTTGCATGTGCGTTTCTGCTTATGCGTATTAGGTACAAGAACTGGTGGGCATGGGCTCCCTGCTGAACTACCTGATGAAGCATGAGAATGATCATGACAACATGGCATCGATATTGCAACCAATGGAACTCTGGGCATCTCAGATTGCCAACGGCATGCTGTTCCTTGAGCAGAAGAAGTTTGTGCACCGTGATTTGGCAGCTCGTAATATCTTGCTCTCATCCAAGACACAGGTAAGGCTAGCTCAGTGGAGATGTATCGGCTTAGACAAACGGGTAGGGCTAGCTCAGTGGAGGTAGATGTCACGTGATTGGCTTCGTGCTTGCTTCCTGCTCAGCATTGTTTTCAGATCTTCGATCAACAACCGTGTGGCCTTTGCTATCCTGTGCTGAGTCTTGCATTTTTGTTTTGTTTTTAAGTTATAGTTGATTGACATTGTGATCCTTTATGCCTATGTGCTTGTGTGTGTGCCAGTGTGTGTGTGTGTGTGTGTGTGTGTGTGTGTGTGTGTGTGTGTGTGTGTGTGTGTGTGTGTGTGTGTGTGTGTGTGTGTGTGTGTGTGTGTGTGTGTGTGTGTGTGTGTGTGTGTGTGTGTGTGTGTGTGTGTGTGTGTGTGTGTGTGTGTGTGTGTGTGTGTGTGTGTGTGTGTGTGTGTGTGTGTGTGTGTGTGTGTGTGTGTGTGTGTGTGTGTGTGTGTGTGTGTGTGTGTGTGTGTGTGTGTGTGTGTGTGTGTGTGTGTGTGTGTGTGTGTGTGTGTGTGTGTGTGTGTGTGTGTGTGTGTGTGTGTGTGTGTGTGTGTGTGTGTGTGTGTGTGTGTGTGTGTGTGTGTGTGTGTGTGTGTGTGTGTGTGTGTGTGTGTGTGTGTGTGTGTGTGTGTGTGTGTGTGTGTGTGTGTGTGTGTGTGTGTGTGTGTGTGTGTGTGTGTGTGTGTGTGTGTGTGTGTGTGTGTGTGTGTGTGTGTGTGTGTGTGTGTGTGTGTGTGTGTGTGTGTGTGTGTGTGTGTGTGTGTGTGTGTGTGTGTGTGTGTGTGTGTGTGTGTGTGTGTGTGTGTGTGTGTGTGTGTGTGTGTGTGTGTGTGTGTGTGTGTGTGTGTGTGTGTGTGTGTGTGTGTGTGTGTGTGTGTGTGTGTGTGTGTGTGTGTGTGTGTGTGTGTGTGTGTGTGTGTGTGTGTGTGTGTGTGTGTGTGTGTGTGTGTGTGTGTGTGTGTGTGTGTGTGTGTGTGTGTGTGTGTGTGTGTGTGTGTGTGTGTGTGTGTGTGTGTGTGTGTGTGTGTGTGTGTGTGTGTGTGTGTGTGTGTGTGTGTGTGTGTGTGTGTGTGTGTGTGTGTGTGTGTGTGTGTGTGTGTGTGTGTGTGTGTGTGTGTGTGTGTGTGTGTGTGTGTGTGTGTGTGTGTGTGTGTGTGTGTGTGTGTGTGTGTGTGTGTGTGTGTGTGTGTGTGTGTGTGTGTGTGTGTGTGTGTGTGTGTGTGTGTGTGTGTGTGTGTGTGTGTGTGTGTGTGTGTGTGTGTGTGTGTGTGTGTGTGTGTGTGTGTGTGTGTGTGTGTGTGTGTGTGTGTGTGTGTGTGTGTGTGTGTGTGTGTGTGTGTGTGTGTGTGTGTGTGTGTGTGTGTGTGTGTGTGTGTGTGTGTGTGTGTGTGTGTGTGTGTGTGTGTGTGTGTGTGTGTGTGTGTGTGTGTGTGTGTGTGTGTGTGTGTGTGTGTGTGTGTGTGTGTGTGTGTGTGTGTGTGTGTGTGTGTGTGTGTGTGTGTGTGTGTGTGTGTGTGTGTGTGTGTGTGTGTGTGTGTGTGTGTGTGTGTGTGTGTGTGTGTGTGTGTGTGTGTGTGTGTGTGTGTGTGTGTGTGTGTGTGTGTGTGTGTGTGTGTGTGTGTGTGTGTGTGTGTGTGTGTGTGTGTGTGTGTGTGTGTGTGTGTGTGTGTGTGTGTGTGTGTGTGTGTGTGTGTGTGTGTGTGTGTGTGTGTGTGTGTGTGTGTGTGTGTGTGTGTGTGTGTGTGTGTGTGTGTGTGTGTGTGTGTGTGTGTGTGTGTGTGTGTGTGTGTGTGTGTGTGTGTGTGTGTGTGTGTGTGTGTGTGTGTGTGTGTGTGTGTGTGTGTGTGTGTGTGTGTGTGTGTGTGTGTGTGTGTGTGTGTGTGTGTGTGTGTGTGTGTGTGTGTGTGTGTGTGTGTGTGTGTGTGTGTGTGTGTGTGTGTGTGTGTGTGTGTGTGTGTGTGTGTGTGTGTGTGTGTGTGTGTGTGTGTGTGTGTGTGTGTGTGTGTGTGTGTGTGTGTGTGTGTGTGTGTGTGTGTGTGTGTGTGTGTGTGTGTGTGTGTGTGTGTGTGTGTGTGTGTGTGTGTGTGTGTGTGTGTGTGTGTGTGTGTGTGTGTGTGTGTGTGTGTGTGTGTGTGTGTGTGTGTGTGTGTGTGTGTGTGTGTGTGTGTGTGTGTGTGTGTGTGTGTGTGTGTGTGTGTGTGTGTGTGTGTGTGTGTGTGTGTGTGTGTGTGTGTGTGTGTGTGTGTGTGTGTGTGTGTGTGTGTGTGTGTGTGTGTGTGTGTGTGTGTGTGTGTGTGTGTGTGTGTGTGTGTGTGTGTGTGTGTGTGTGTGTGTGTGTGTGTGTGTGTGTGTGTGTGTGTGTGTGTGTGTGTGTGTGTGTGTGTGTGTGTGTGTGTGTGTGTGTGTGTGTGTGTGTGTGTGTGTGTGTGTGTGTGTGTGTGTGTGTGTGTGTGTGTGTGTGTGTGTGTGTGTGTGTGTGTGTGTGTGTGTGTGTGTGTGTGTGTGTGTGTGTGTGTGTGTGTGTGTGTGTGTGTGTGTGTGTGTGTGTGTGTGTGTGTGTGTGTGTGTGTGTGTGTGTGTGTGTGTGTGTGTGTGTGTGTGTGTGTGTGTGTGTGTGTGTGTGTGTGTGTGTGTGTGTGTGTGTGTGTGTGTGTGTGTGTGTGTGTGTGTGTGTGTGTGTGTGTGTGTGTGTGTGTGTGTGTGTGTGTGTGTGTGTGTGTGTGTGTGTGTGTGTGTGTGTGTGTGTGTGTGTGTGCATGTGTGCGTGTGTCTCGTTAGTGTAAGATCAGTGACTTTGGTCTATCTCGTGCGGTGGGTACAAACTCAGACTATTACCGTGCATCTCAAGGTGGACGCTGGCCAGTCAAATGGTGAGTAGGAAATCAGTGCTGTGTTGCATTCTAACAGGTAGAGATGATATACCGGAAAGTACTGGTGATCCGCTTGGTCTCTAATTTCTGCTCCACTGAGCACTGCCTTCGACTGTGTTGCTTCAACAAAAGTATACTTCATACGTTCACGTTCCCATCTGTTATACAATTATGTTAAGAAACACAACCAGCTTTAAATAGGAAGTTTTGCTTGTGCCAGGCCACCACCATACCTGATAAAGCTCACTACGCGGAGTGAGGGTAACATGGATGCAGCTAACGAGGTTACGTCAACAAAAAGTTGGAATTGTTTCTGCCATGTGCTTGTCAGGTATGCACCGGAGTCTGTGAACTATGGTACATTCTCACATTCATCCGATGTATGGAGCTATGGCATCACGTTGTGGGAGATGTTCTCATTGGGTGCGCAGCCATACGGAGAGATGAGTGGTGCTCAGGTGAGCTGGTTTACCCATGATCATGGCATCAGCTGTCCTCATGGCTACTTGCCCACATCGTGCACAGTACTGGGTGTATACTGACTGAAGTGCTGCTATCCTGTGTCGTGTAGGACATCAGGCTGCCTTGTGCTGCTACCCTGTGTCGTGTAGGACATCAGGCTGCCTTGTGCTGCTACCCTGTGTCGTGTAGGACATCAGGTTGCCTTGTGCTGCTATCCTGTGTCGTGTAGGACATCAGGTTGCCTTGTGCTGCTATCCTGTGTCGTGTAGGACATCAGGTTGCCTTGTGCTGCTACCCTGTGTCGTGTAGGACATCAGGTTGCCTTGTGCTGCTATCCTGTGTCGTGTAGGACATCAGGTTGCCTTGTGCTGCTAAGTTCTGTTCTCGTTCTCATCAGTCTGTCACAGTATATGACAGTTAGTGGCTCAACTGAAACAGCGTTTTTCCGAGCTTTGAGAGATGTAGTTTGTCTGACGGAGTGAGGACCCAGCAGTCTCTATTGCTATGTTCATGCATGTACTGAAGTAAGTGTGCACGGTATGTGTGTCTCAAACCGTGGCGACCAACAAAGCAAGGGAGCATGAGTGCGCGCTCTCTTATTGTGTATGCTTGTGCACACGGACACGTTCGAGGGTCCCTCTTGACCAATTGGTCCCGTAATTACGGGTGATCTAGCAATCTGGTTGGGCCAGGCACTGCCATGGGAGTTGGTCTCGGGTGAGCGGCTGCAGTGCAACATATGGCCATAGAAGATCCTCCATCATTTAAAAGTACATGTAGGGGTGAACCGTGGCGAGTATGGCGTATATGGTATGATAGAGGTTGTGTGGGTACATCAACATTAATCAGTTTAAGATGCTTTGCATGGAGTGGACAGGCAGGGTTTTCTTTGTTTATTATAGCTTGTTTAATGCTATACATCATAGGAATGGTGTAGCTGAAGGATCTACTGACATCTGACTTCTTAGCACTTGAAGACTGCTCCAGCTTTGCATTGCAGCATAACACCTTCCTGTTGCTGTACAATGTGGAGTGTTAGCCGGTAATGGGCACATGTGTCTTATTGGCTAGCTGCGTGAGCTGATGATGTGGTCTCCGTATAGTTGGTAAACTGCTCTTTATATTCTATGATGCAAACCTTGGCTTGCTAGGTTATGCACATGCTGGAGGAACTTGGCCAGCGACTGGATAAACCTCGCTATTGTCCCGATCACACATACCGCCTCATGAGAAAGTGTTGGTCTCTGGATCCTAATGACAGACCCACATTCGAGCAGCTCTACGAGGTTTGTTCTAGTATATGACAAAGTTATAATTCTATTTATAAGAAAGGACCAACTTGTTACATGTTATCGTAGTCCAACACTAACAGTTATCAGCATGATGTTGTGTGGTCAGAAAGTGCAACAGCTAGCACAATACCGACTGATGTGATACTGACATTCAGCGACCTGATGAGAAGCTCTCATGAACTTGGTCCTTTCTTTTAATTAAATTAATTTTAATCCTTGGTCGCGCGGCTCTCCATACTGGTATAATGTATACCAGTATGTGTTCATTCTGTTTCCGGAATTCTGGCCGCTTGTCACACAAGTTAACTGGCAGATATCTTTGCAATCAACACTCAGTTGCAGTACTTTTTATCAATCATTTCACCTTTTCTATTTTGTCACAGTAGAGTACTGTGCTTTTTCTGATGTCCCGCAGTCAGTCTTGGTACATGTAGTGGCATCTCACATATAGTGGTGGCTTGGGACAAGTCATGGAAATCTTCTAAACACTTTTTTTACTTCTTGGCAGGATGTAGTAGGTGAAGTTTTCCTTTTTCTTTCTTTCTTCCTTTTAGGCCACACTGTTGAGAAGTACATCATGTACATCATGTACTAGTATGGCTATTTCCCGCTGTTTGCCCGTCTTTAGATCTTCTTGCAGAGTCCTGAGTATGAGAATGTCCGCAACAATGAGACCTTCTATGCTGATCCTCGGGAGCTTGTTGCAAGGTAAATTGTCAGGCCGTACCACTGTCTCAGTTTTGTCTACTGGCTTCTAATATGGAAAGTAGACGAAAACCACTTTCATAACACACCTCACTGAAGCACGAATCGTCATACAGCTGCAAACACTGGGGGTTGGACACCAAATGAGATCGTGGATGAGGATGGTGAGAATGACGACTGTGGGAGTGAGGACGAAGGGGCTGGTGAGCTTGCAGTTGATCATGCAGTATTTGTAAAAATATATATCAAAAAATTATCGTGTCCTGAAGGGAACTCACGACGGCCGCTAACACCCTAGCGGCGGATGCAGTATTTGTGAGTACCCATAAATCTGCTGTCTTCAATCCAATTTGGTATCCAATCCCCAGTGTGTGCAATTGTATGATGATGATTCATGCTTCAGTGTGGTGTGTTGTGCAAGTAGTTTTTGTCTACTTTCCGTAGTAGAAGCCATGTTTATTCGTAATCGCAACCCAGATTTATGCAGACAGAAGGAATTTGTTACAGCACTCACCCTCTTTACTTGACATACCAACACCCACATACTCACTCACATACATGTAACTTTCTCATTTGCACCCGCGCTCCACTCCACACATGCTTTATTAACACTGCTCGCTTTGTAATCACGCCTTCTCAGTATAGTTCTCATTCTAGGATACCAGTGTTTCTCGCATTAGTTTTAGATCCAATATTATTCTTCAAGCATTGTTCTGATAATGGTATGGTATTTTTAAACTTAGTAGTATTTTGCACTTATTTGAAGTATTGTTTGTTTTTGTTTCTCATGTTTGTGTTTGTGTTGTGCATTGCAGCAGGAGATAGGTGCATCATTGTCAATATAGCAAAGTTCGGACCGCCACAGTGGAGTGTTCATGAATCTACTTTACTTTCTAACCGATGTGACAGTTTCCTGCACTGCTGCCGGTTAGGTGTGCTTGGTTCAAGTTGGTTGTCAAACCCAACATTATATTTCAAATCAATTATTTCACGATTATTTTTCGTCTACATGCACTGCAACGTATGTAGCTTTGACCTTGGTTTTGCAGGTGTCAAGCCCTTGCCTTTTCGAGTTAGGTTGAAAAAGTGACGATTATTTTGTTGACAGCGTCCGGACCTCTTTGCCGCTTTGGTTCACAAAATTAATGATAGCTTTCCCCTGCGGAAAAAATACCACTTTTATGTTCGTGTGTCACAAGTTCCCTTTTCACTGAATTGATGCCATGCCATCTGTGAGCATCCATATGTTTCTCTATTTTACCATAGCCCTTATTGGTGTCTCTATTTTTTTGTTGTCAAATTTCCCCCGGCATCGCGGCATCAGTGCGCATGATATCACACTGTCACTCGGCCCAGTTTTAGTTCTGACTCGTGTTTTCTTAAATATCTCAAAGTTTGAAGTGAAATTGTAGCAATCGACTTGTAGTGCCCATGCTATGGCACCGAGCAGCTGCTGTTCAGGACAGTGCGGCTGTTGCAGTTCTCACAGTGCCGCGCTGAGGCCAATCATGATCACTGACATCATGCATGTATGCGCCTGGTCCGAACCGCAGATTCGAAATTCCTGGCGATGCCACTGCGGTCCGTTCTCTGTAATCCTGCTGCTACATGCCGGCTCAGTTCACTCTGACCCCCAGTTTGAGTTCAGTGCTGCTGCATGGTGAATGCCAAAGGTCACGGCCGTTGCTTGTCATAGGTCAGCGGATGCCGAGTGACCAGTACACTATTCCTGTGTACAGTCAACTTTGCGTATAACGACACTCGGCGGG